GCTTGAATAAGGCGAAAAAAGGCAGCATTTTAGTCTTAGTAAAAAGCAATTCAATTTATGTCGATGTTACCTTCAATTGTGGTGGTGGGTCTGTAGGATTCGTTTTCTAGTCACGTTTTCTTACAAAGGTTGCTTTATGTTTCCTAACAGACTGAGCAAGGAACAAGTAGGTAAGGTCTTACTCAACTGTAATTAGTCCTAACAATCGTGGTTCAAACCCTCTTGCATAGCTTCCAATTGCAAAAACTACTTACAAGAACTTTAAACGATTGGGAATCCATGAATTAACGGTTGACGGGTGTATCGGAACGACGTTCGATTGGAGGTTTACGTAAAATATGGTAACAGACCCATCTGCATTCACTAAAACCTATGCCACCTACAATCGGCGAGGAGCTCCGAATCTTGTTTGCTCGGAATCCAGTTGAACTGGATGCGGTTGTTATCGACAGAAAAGAAGTAGAAGTTGTAAGTGTCGCCGATTTGCTGGAGCTTACTATAAGCGCTAATCTAACTCAGACTGTACACATTGAAGAAGTAGTTAGGAAAGTTAGTAAGCGATTGTATTTCCTAGTACAGCTCAAACGCGTTAAATCATCGCAACAGATCTAATTCTTTTCTACAATACGTGCGTAAGGTCCGTGGTCGAGTATGCCGTTAAGGTATTTTATAACGTCTTGCCGCAATATCTCATCAACGAGCTTGTTCGTATAGAGAAAAGTGCGATCTCGATGAAGATAAATACAATATATAATAAAGATCATACGCTGAACAGCTTACTTCTGCCATTATATAAGAATCCAAGGTACAATTTAAGAAAGCATAGCCTTTACAATATGCCACATGTCCTCACCTATCAAACTTGGAATAGTGTTTCAATCGCGTGGTAATTATGACAAGGCACAAGATTATTACAAGAAAGCACTAGCGATTAGACTGGAAATTGCTCACAGAGAAGGAGAAGCAGCGGATGACGGAAACTTAGGGAGACTGTTTGATTTACTCGGTGAACATGACAAGGCTCAAGAACATCTAGAGAAAGCATTACGGATTAGTAAGGAAATTTGCAACAGAAATGGAGAAACAAGTTGTTATGCAAACCTAGAAGCTTTTTTCTGTTACTCGAAATATACCCTAGAGCAGATAAATATCTAGTGCAAGCACTGGCAATAGCAAAGGAAATTGGCGATAAACGTGGAGAAGCAGTAGTTTACAGTAATTTTGGGAGAATTTCTCACTGTCTTCATGATTATGAAAAGGCTCAAAAATATCAAAAGAAAGCCCTTTCAATCTATGAGGAAATTGGCGACAGAGATGGAGAAGTAGTCGAATACGCAACTTTGGGGGTATGTTTCCAATCGCTTGACATATAATGTCGCCGAAAAATACATCAAGAGGGCCCTATTAATAAGCAAGAATATTGGACACAACTAGAAAAACTCTTCTGTGAACGATTAGTGTAACAATCTGGAACACGACAGTTCATACACCATGTGGAACGGGTTGGATGCTCGACAATAAAAGCGGCAGAAACTGGCGACATACCCAGACTAACTTCTAATTTCTCTTAGATCAAATAGATTTTGTCGAAGGTCTTCAATTTAGAATGTCGAGATATGTTTCCTGATGGCCACTGATGTGTGAAAATTCTTAGAGACGAGAATTCCCAGAAGAAGTTTCGACCAAAAACACTTAACTGACCGACTTCGAGTTACTCGAATGTCATCACGATGATTTTGTAGGAAGTGCCTCAATCTAATGTCGATGTAAGTTCCATGACAGCAAATAAGAGTCTGCAGAATTAGTTCCCTTGGCGTGCCTTTTCACGAAGGTTCTTCCATGAATAATTTTGGATGGGATTTCAACCACAGCCCTTCCCAAGCTAGAAAACCAAATGGAAACCTCAGTCATCCTAAATGGCGATAGGAACACTTGGGAAGGAGAGACGAAGCGACAGCAGTCTACCATGTTGAACGGGTTGGATGCTCGACGATAAAAGCGACAGAAACTGGCGGCAATGCGATCTCTTAACAAAGCTTAGACAACCAACTGAAAAAAAATTAGATCCTAGCCTAAAAACGAAGACAGCCCTCAAAAAGATAGTGAAATACCAATCCACATTACTTTTCTCTCCGCTGTCAATAGACGGTAGAAGTTGGTTAGAAAAAAAAAAGGCTACACATAGTTTAAAGGTAAAGTTGTTCACATGCCTAGAAATGAAGTAGCTGGTGAACTAGACCTGAACTAAACTAAGCTATAATTATGTGCACTTTAATTTCTCTCCTTATGAGTTTCAAAGCAGCCTTAATGACTTTATTCATATATACACAAACTAACCTCCAATTCCTCTCAGATCAAGTAGATTGTGTAGAAAGGGCTTCAACTGATGGCGTGCGAGTGCCTTTTGGATTAGTTCATGTATCCTAACAGAGAGCGCTTTGTGCTTCTCCTAGACCTATCCTTCTTAGGGCATTGATAATAAGTTGAAATGTAAAACCGGTGTAACCTGACCGAGAGGCTGATATCGATTTCAAGTTTCCACGAATTGTAGGGGGCAAGGAATTGTCAAAGTCCACCTTGTTATGTAACTCGAGTTTCTCGCTTAGATTTAAGGTTTCTTGGAAAAAAAAAAAGATATATAAACGATATAGGCCCATCTACTCTTATTATATTTGAAGGCCGGGATCCGGGAATTTAGGGTAACTTAGTGGGAAACTGCTATCTTATTTGACACGTAAATAAAGTTTATTATTATTATTATTATTATTAAGGGAGAGAGATGTGGGATTGTTATTATAAACGGGACACGGGAATCGGCGGTTTTGAGGAGCGGGATTCGGGGAATAATCACTAAAACGAACCGAGAACCGGGGTCCGTTTACGAGACTTTAAAAATCTAAAACTCCAAAAAAGCCTAGCCTCCCACGCAGCCGTTTTTAGGAGATCGCGTTTCACTTCTCACGCAAAAGTGACACGCGATCCCCTAATGACGCTTGTGGGAGAGGCTAAGAAAAGCCGCACAAAGGCTTGTTATGACAGTCTTATCTGCGCTCGTGCCGGTCACACGGCCTTTTCCCTGCCCTGTTGTTTTATTGCAACCCATTGGTGATATCTGGACATTCTGAGCCTTGCTGTGTCCTGTAATAGTGACCCTGGATTTCTTGGTGACCGACCAATATATCAATCGGGAAAAAGAGCGGTACGTTGCTCTGTGAGGTTGTCAGCTACTATTGAAAATGATGAGTCAAATCAAATCGACATAATAAACATTATGAGTTGTGTCGCTATCTCTTACGAGAAGGGGAAGAGCGGATGATGCTCTCTGCGGAATAAAAATTTCGTGCTCAGCCTCCACGAAAGGTGACCACTTTAAAGGCTCTTAAGGAAACAGCATAACAATATTGTGTTCAATTAATTTTTCTATATTTCCCTTGTTATGGAGCTAAGGGATCACCATCAGCTTTTTTTGTTTTATGCACTTGATATTGTTATTGTGTCATTGATACTGACCTGTCTTTACTACTACATCTTATCGTTATCGAAGTTAAACGGAAGGAAGTCGTTACCCTGACTAGCGTACGTTATTCTTGCAAAACTTTGGAAACTTCTCAAATGAACGATGTCATCGTTTTGGTGCAAAGAGATAAAGTTACGCCTTACAGTGAACAAAAACTTGAAAGGATAAATGCTGGTTGAGAAAATTATCACCCACCGAAGAGGGCCTTTTAAGTTGAGGTAATGAACTGAGAAAACTTTTATGATCGGGATCGGGATTGGCCGGTATAAACCGTCGCGATTACGGGATTGTGAGAAAATTTTAGTCTGGATCGCGGGATAAAGAACCCTCTATTGCATAGCCTCCAATTGACTAAAACTGTCAACAAAGTCTTAAAACGATTGGGAAGCCATAGACTATTGGTTAACGTGTTGTTCGGACAGACATTCGATTGCAGGTTCCCATGAAATATCATGGGAACAGGCCCAAAAAGTGTTCACTTAAATTCCACCTAAAATCACGGTTGGATAAATCAGCATTACTATTTCTTTTTCTAGAATGAACCGGACTAACTGTATGATGATGGGGCGAGAAGCCAAAGAGCACATAGAAATTACCAGAAACATAGAAACGTTATGAGAAAGAATCTTATTAGGTGGATTAATTCCTTGAAAAAGGAAACTGTTCCAAAGAAGGTTAAAATTGTTCCATTCGTTTTATTTGGAAGAGATTATTCTAAGAAACATCTCCAGTGTAAGGCAAATTGTTTCTTTCTGATGCCTCCGGTGCTTATGTTGAAGGCAAATTATACAAAAGAAACATTTGCAGGTGCAAATTGTAAAACAATTTTACAAGAAGAAATAAAAGCAAAACTATTTCCCTGAGGAAAATTTCGAGGTACCAGCAAAATACTGATGATAAACCGAAAATCTCTTTTTAATAAACTCTTTCATAGGCCTCGCCGCCGTGATATCTCAACTCCTCCATAACTTCTTACAGGACTGTGCATCAATAAGCTCTCTACTGATTTATTTCCATGAAAAAGTAATGATTGAAATAGTTAATTCAAAGCTCTGCGCACTGTGCCTGCTAAGTCTTTACGTCACTTAGAGCTCTTTCCAATGAGTGGTCGGACAAAGCCCAAAAGAAAAATCCCAATATCAAGATCCTTCGAGAGGCACACTCCGTCATTAAATACTTCATCGGATCTGGTAACAGTCTTGCTCACACTACATGACTAATCAACAAAGATAACAGAAGCTGCGAAGACTCGAAAGACTACGCTAAGCAAAACGAAATCCACGAAAAAATAAAATTTCCTAATAACTTGTGATCCTGTTCGCAATTGATAATAATTGTGTTCGTTTTTCTAAGGCGCTACACTCAACAATGACTCAGAGCTCCTTTAGGGATAAACCGGTAGATTGATGAATCGAATCGTACACGAAGCAATTTCGATTAAATTCGTAATCAGTGTCACCCCTAATGCTGGATTGAATAACGTTAGATAATGGTTTTGCTGTTGCATGTGGATTACGCTTACTCTAGAATACGTATGTAAAGAAAGAAAAACGAAAAAAATCAAACTGCTTCCATTAAGATGTTCCTAGAGTGACACTCGATCTTGTTCTTTCCACTCTTCACCAGCTCTCATCTGGGGCTGTGATGGCACACAGAAGCGGGCTCGTTAGCCTTCGAACTGAACATTTTTCTTGAATGGTTTTCTTCAGCTTTCTCAGCCACCTGTCGATGTAGTTCTGGTCTGTTCCCTCGGTTGGAATGGCGAGCAAATGGGTCCTGACCTGTGGTATAGCCGCGTAGAAACCTCGGCAAAGGGTCTTCACATCTCTTGCTTGTGCCTTCATAACTTTGTAATACAGTTTCTTCCTATCGCTCATGCGTTTCTCAGCTTTTCCTTCAAACTTTTTTAACTTCTGTTGCATTACGGAGAAGAAACCGGCTACTTTGGAGATACCACTTAAAATACCCATCATGGCAGGGATCATGGTGTTGCTGACTGTGTTTGCGGCAGCCTCTTGAACTTTTGCTTCGTAGCCTTTAGCAGTTGCCTCCAACAAATCTGAATGAACACCATGCAACAATACAGGCACTATTAAGAAGTTTAGCAGTGGTACAAAGGCAAATACAGCCGCCCAGGTGCGTTTTGTAGCTGCCGTGTCTTTTAACTCTTCCACCTCCTTTTCAGATTTCCGTTGAAGATGGCTAAATTCTTCTACAATTACGCGGACCTGGTCCTCCATTGCTTTGAGTGATTTCATGACGCCTTCATGCATCTGCAGTAGCGTTTGGCACATCTCCCTGTAGCCAATAGTTTCTTCAAGGATGTCAGATAGCATCTCACACCATTCTTCGTACTCCAGGGCTTCATAATACTCAAAGTACTCGCTGATAGATGCAAGAAACATGATTGAAAGCGGGAGGAGACCTTTCAGGTACACTATTGCGTCGTTTCTGCATTTGTTTAGGAGTTCCATAAACTTTCTAGCAGGCGCAGTACCGGTGCCAAAAGCTGTGTCTGAGAAAAGGGCTTTCATTCTCATGGAGAAAGTTAGCATGTCGACTTGCATGCTGTGTAATTGTTCTAGAAGGTCTTTGATGGACTTCTTTGCTTGATTTTCGGTGTCACTCATCCTTCTGCTGGAGACCAAGCGATAAATGATCAAAGAGAGTTTCTTCTTTATTATTCCATGAATGGCTTCTATCAACGCAAAGTGTTTTTTATCTTTTCGTTTTATAGAAGACCAATTGCTTTAAAGCAGTCCCACAAAAGGCTCTAAACATAGAGGAAATAGGGGCAGTACGTCTCCAAGCCGCGGTTTTCGTCACAGGGGACTCGGAGATTAGTTATTCCGTAACAGATGAAACGAAAGCTACCGTCATCACAAGTTTTCTTAGTTTGAAAAAGGTAAGTTACCCGAGGAAAATCTCATCCGGGCAAGTTAATTCCTTGACAAACGATTCATTTAGTTGCGCTATTTCAGTTAACCTTCGTTTTGCTAGGATTTTTTTAAAAGCATCTCAAGTTTGATCACAGCTTTTCCTTCCCTATGCGTTGTATGAAATCATTTAACGAAATTCTGCTGTAGACGCGCCAAGAAAGTATAGGAGTAGTAGGCCCTTCCCAAAGCAGTTAGACTTCCAACCGACTTGAATTTAAGAATTTTACACATCAACCTAAATAGCGGCGAGTATATAGTAGCCGATGCCAACAGGCGAGACAAAAATTGTCACGACAGAATTTGTCAACGGATTTTCTCCTGAACAATGGCAATTTTGTCTGCTAGTAGTTCAGGATGACTATTTTCGTTCTCTCGAATATACCAAGCTCACGGCGACGGAACCAGAAGCCAAAGTGCACGCAGAAATACCAGAAAAAGAATATCATAAGGTTGGATTAATTCCGTGTAACCGTTCCAAGGAATTTTCAAATCATTTTTTCCTTTCGTTTTTTTTGTAAGTGATTTTTTGAGAAAATAATAGGAATTGTTTCGTGCCGATGTCTCCAGTACTATAAAAGTGACAAGAAACAACCAGAGACAATTTCACTCGTAAATGAAATGACGTTTCAGAAGCAAGGGAAAAAACGACAGTATTTCCCTGAGGGAAACTTCAGTTAACAGCGTTGAGCTGAACTGCTTCGCATATTCTCTTTCATCAGGTAACTTTGTATAGAGCGCCTCACTTGACGTCTTACTTTGGTGTCGATACCCGCCAGTGATAGCGGGAAAGTGCTCCTCGGCGTATTTTCTAACGAAGGTTGTTTCATGTATCGAAAACCGATCGGGAAAACTTAAATACTTATTTACACTTTCATTGCAACGAAGAGGTTTTAACGCACCGTATGGAGACTAAAAATATCATACACGGACTAACCTCCAATTTCTCTTAGATCAAAGAGATTTTGTAGAAAGTCTTCAATTTAGAACGTCGAGACATGTTTCCTGATGGCTACTGATATGTGAAAATTCTCTAAAACGAGCATTCTCTGAAGAAAGTTTCGACCAAAAACATTTAACTGACCCGCTTCGAGTTACTCGAATATCATCACGATGATTTTGTAGAAAGTGCCTCAGTCTAATGTCGATGTAAGTGATAGCAAATAAGGGTCTGAAGAATTAGTTCCCTTGGCGTGCCTTTTCACGAAGGTTGCTACATGAATAATTTTGGAAGGGATTTCAACCACAGATCCGATGGGAAATTATCAACGATCTCTTCCCAAGTCTAGGCAACCAAATGGAAAACCTCAGTCATCGAGATCATCCGCAATGTAGATAAAATGGTGACAGCAAAACTCAAGAAGGAGCAATTTTACTTGTCGAAATTTATTGCGAATTCGGTAATAAAAGCGGCGGAAACTAACAGCACGCTTCTTGCAAAGCAAGCAAAGACAAACCAACGGGAAAATGACTCTGGTTCACGGACTAGAGACAAAAGAAAGTTGTTTTATATATCTATTTCTGGCCCTTTCATTTCATATGGGATGTTAAATTCTTTATAAACCGCCAAAATAATTAGCGCCATGCTAAGTGCTCTTTTCGCTAAGCAAGACATTTTTCCGAGAAATATCTCGAGTTCGATATTCATTGTTCCCTGCCGATGTCAAAAAATGGAAATGTTGGATTGAATTTCTACCTCATTTTCGTCAGTAAATTATCAACAATCTCATCCCAAACCCTAGACAACTGACTAAAAAATCACAGGAGAGCTCGGGAAGGAGCAACGACGCGACAGCAATTTACCATGTGGACAGCTGTTGCAAATTCCACAATTAAAGCGACAGAAAACTAGCGGCAAGCTTATTTCAAAGTTAACCTTATACCACAAAGTAGAGACGACGGGAAAAATGTGAAACAGCCATTCACATTACTTCTGTCTTTATCTTTAATGGATCGGTGAGAGCTGGTTAAAAAACTCATCAAACGGTCACAAAGCATAAAAGTAATGTTGCATTCGTGCCCAACAACATAACAGTTAGATCATATACCTTTAAATGAACTGTACTTATTTACACTCGCTTACCTGTGTTCATAGGGGATTGATTTCTGGTTAAAACTTGATAATGTGAAACCGGCCTAACCTGACATCACGACAGTGAATATAACGAGTAACAGAATTATTCTTATTTGGTAGGCATAATTCATTGAAAACATTTGCGTTAAATAGTGTCATTTCAAATATTTCTTTCGTGTTTAAGATGGTTTCCTACCATATCTTTGGTAATGTCTTGCATTGTCAAAGATTTTGGATGTAGATTATAAGATAAAACTGACTTGCAAATATAAGCAGTCTCCTCTCGAACTTGGACATTCATTACAAAAAGAAAATGTCACTCAACCCTGAATAAGCAGAGCAATACTAAGAAATAGGCGAAAACACGGCAGCATTCCCTCTTGAAAATTTTAACAAAAATATTGAAATGGCCTGCCTCAAATGACTCTCGTATCAAGTAGGTTTTGTAAAGAGTGCCTCAATTCATTCTCTAAGCAAGTTCCATAATGGCGAGTAAGTCGCTAAAGGACTAGTTCCCACAAATTGTTTTCCACAAAGGTTGTTTTATGTATGTAAATGATCCATTATTTCTCATCCAGACATTTTAATCCCTTATAAACCGCTACAATGATCAGCGACATGCAGAGTACCTCTTTTGTTTTGCAAAAAAATTTTTCCGAGAATATCTCGAGTTTGATAGTCGTTGTGTCCAACCGATGTCAAAAATAGAAATATTGGATGTAAATTCCACCACAGATTATCAACAGGAACTTATCAACAATCCCCTCCTAAGGGTAGGTCAGCCGATCGATCATCGTTTTTGTAAACCTACATGGCGATAGGAACACTAAGGAAGGAGAGACGAAGCGACAGCAGTTTACCACGTGGAACGGTTTGAATGCTCGATAATAAAAGCAGCAGAAAACTAACGACATACACAGACTAACCTCCGATTTCTCTTAGATCAAATAGATTTTGTAGAAGGGTTTCAATTCAGAATTTCGTGACATGTTTCCTGATGACCACTGATGTGTGAAAATTCTCAGAAACGAGCATTCCCAGAAGAAAGTTTCGACTAAAAACATTTGACTGACCGACTTCGAGTTGCTGGAATATCATGACGATGATTTTGTAGAAGGTACCTCAATGTAATGTCGATGTTAGTTCCATGACAGCAAATAAGGGTCTGAAGAATTAGTTCCCTTGCGTACCTTTTCACGAAGGTTGTTCCATGAATAGTGTTATCAAAAATCTCCTCCCAAGCTTAGAAAACTAAATGGAAAACCGCTTTCATCCTAACTGGCGATAGCAACACTCGGGAAGGAGAGACGAAGCGACAGCAGTTTACAATGTTGAACCGGTTGGATGCTCGACTGTAAAAGCGACATAAAACTAGCGACAATGCGATCTCTTAACAAAACTTAGACAACCAATTGAAAAATAACATTAGATCCCAGCCTAAATACGAAGATAGTCCTCAAAAAAAAAATATGGCAAAAGTTTGTTGGGAAACACATCAAGCTCTTACAGAGTAAAAACATGCCTAGAATGAAGTACTTGGTGAACTATAAACTTGAATAAACTAAGCTCTAATTATGTGCACTTTCATTTCTCTCCTTATGGGTTTCAGAGCAGCCCTAATGACTTTATTCATATATACACAAACTAACCTCCAATTCCTGACTGTAGACTGTGTAGAAAGGGCTTCAACTAATGGCGTGCGAGTGCTTTTTGCATTAGTTCGTGTATCCTACTAGTAACAGAGAATGCTTCGTGGATCTCCTTGAACTATTCTTCTTAGGGCATTGATAATTGGTTGAAATGTGACATGTGAAACCGGTGTAACCTGACTGAGAGGCTGATATCCATTTCAAGTTTCCACGAATTGTAGGGGGCAAGGAATTATCAAAATCCGCCTTGTTATGTAACTCCAGTTTCCTGCTTCGATTTCAGGTTTCTTTGAAAAAGAAAAGACATAATGATGATATAGGCCCATCTACCCTTAAAGGGGATTCGATAACATTCCCCCACCCCTCTTTTCATGGAATGTCAACTAACCTTACTAGAAAACTTCATCCCTTCTTTTTCTTAAGCAGAGTAAGCTTATCGAGCTCATCCTGAACTTGTCTTCTCAAAAACAGAGGTATAGTCCTCTTTATTGCATCGCTCGGCGAAGTGTTTGAGCCATTAGAGGATACAAACATAGGCATGCGTAACATGCAAGAGTTATTTTTTGGCTGAGTGGGTTGAGATGGGACAGTTTGGGTTCTTAATGTTTTTATTTTTGTCACTGAAAAGAGCATAACTCTCAAAAAACGAAAATATCGCAGAAATACAAAAAAAACCGAATTTATCTGAACTCACACAAACATTATCTGATCTACTGTCTCTATTGTCTTGATACTTCTAGGTTAAAATGAGATGCATCGATACCACGTTTACTGCAGTCTCCACTGCAGCCGTTGTTTGGTCTTGTCACACAACTCCCTCTATTTCCCATTTGAGAGAGAGCGCGTTGCGTGACGAGACCAAATAACGGTTCCGAATGAGACTACGCTTGCTGCCGTTCCTCCAACAGAGAGAGAATCAAAACTTTTCTTCTACAGTTAGTTACCTCAAAAATATTATTCCGCGTAATTTTGTTACAAAAAGCAAACTGAAACTCTGTTATACCTTTAATAGACCCTAACCAAATATACATTGCGATCTCGAGTAAGTGAAGATACATTGAACAAGACGATCTAAGATCGTAAGTCGGGCTACAGGTAGACGCGCTGTTACAAGTGTTGACCATTCATGGTGCGCTGTGGTTCTATAAGAAATACAGAGGTACCATGGTCCTGGTTTGTGGGCGTGGCGTAGCTTTTTTTCACCCCTGAGAGGTACCAATTCTACAACAACACACTGTCACATATTTTTGGTGCAATACAGGTATCACAGAGGCTGCTTCTATGGACCTTTTGAGGCTGAACAGCCCAAGAGGTACTTAACCCGCCCTTTTTAACCTCTAAAAGCTATGATGAGCACCTCAGTCCCTTTTTAACAAAGCGTAGTCAGAACGGGTCAATTTTTCGGTGTTTGTTCAAGCGTGAAATATTCAACTTTGTCTAGACAAACTGTCGCGCTCTATCATTTACAGTTATGGGAAATCCGTACTGTCAAGCACCGAATTTAATTTGGGCTGTGACTAAAAGTGGGACGGGGACGTGGGACTGGGACTCGGGGACGTGAGACTAGGGGACGTGGGACTAGGGGAAGAGGGACTAGGGGAAGTGGGACTCGGGGACGTGGGACTCGGGGACGTGGGACTCGGGGACGTGGGACTCGGGGACGTGGGACGCGGCACGCGGGGACTCGGGGACGCGCGGGAACTCGGGGACGTGAAAAACAAACAACACCTGAATTTGTAAAGTATACTTTTCGGTGGTCTCGAGAAAGGTGCAATATGCTGGAGAGCTTGTCGGGTGACTTTACATCGAAGGCGTTCGTCGAAGGTAAGAGTATGTTGAAGTCCTAAATGTAATAACTGTCCTAAATGTAATAAAGTCCTAAATGTAATAACATTTGGTCCTAAATGTAATAAAGCCCTAAATGTAATAACGTTAGGTCCTAAATGTAATAAGCCTCCAATGCAATCGTTTAACTGTGCTAACATTGAGATGTTAAAGTGACAGCTATTGCACCAAAGAATCCTCTGACCTGTATTCATGGCATATTGCGAGCTCGCTGATATTAATCAGGGTCTTTTTATTTGCTAAAGACGTAGGTTGAGAAGCATTGGCTACAAAACCTTATACTGATGTGCTTTTGGCATCAAATTGACGGACGCAAAAGCAATGACAACGCTGATCAATAGCTCTCTTTATATCATGGGCTCAGACTCTTAATTAAGTGTAACAGATTTTGACGATATACTTGTGTGATCAGTGCTGGAGTTAACACTTCATGAACCAAATTACAAGGAAAAGGAAGTCCACTGACCTATACGTTAGACAAATTCCGGGCTCGTAAGTGCATTTTTTGTACTGTCTTTCCTTACCAGATTTGTATGGGTCTGCATAAAACATATTCATAAGTGTTATTGACCAAGCTGAGGTCAAAATGGCTGGATATTGGGCGAGTTCTTTTTTTTTTTGTTTTTGTTTTTTTTTGCGTTTTTGTGGACTGAGACGAAGTCTCGGTCCGTAAAAAAGGTAAAAAAAGAACGAGGCTAACATCCAGTCATCTTGACCGAACAAGCTTGGTCAAGAGAGTTTGTATTCTCTTGGCTTAATCATTAAAGGATTCATTGTATAGAAAAAGATCTCGCTTTGATAAGAATCAAGAATGGCTTGTTTATTTCGAGAACCGATAGTGAAAGCCAACTGTGTTTGCAACACAATAAACCCAAGAGGGTCGTTTATTTTTTTTCTATGTATATGCCGAAATTGTCCAAAAGTTACGAACTTTGTAAGTTTTCTTGCGTGGGGTCAATACGGGGAATCCAAAGCGGGTGAGGGTAGGCCCATCATGCCCGCTCAGGTAGCCAGTCAGAACACAGGATTCACTCCATCTTGCCCGCGCGCGCTGCTAGCTATATGATAAAGTGACTTACAGAGCAAGATATCTACTGAACAATCATATATTATTCCATTTCACGATCACAGGTCTCGACATGTTGCCTTTTTTCCACGCAAGAGCATTGAGCTACAACATTCAACGCATGATGGTCAGTTGATGGTCTGATAAACCATTCATTTTTTTCCTTTATCCCCTTATGACAGGTTCATCAGTTCCCGAACCGAAATATTGGGAAAACATATATTTTACAGTTGATCTCAAGTCTACATTTCATTTTTTGACTTCATCTCTTCTCCCTGCCGTGAGGGGAGAAAATGAATAGATAAATAGATGAATGAAAAAGGAAAGCTCAACAGTTTCCATTTATAGTCATATGGTACATGAACTGATTACTGAGGTGGAGTAAAGCCATAGAGGGCTACAAATGCAATATCCCAGGTTCAAAATTGAATAAATCAAGGTAGTCATTCTTAAAAACGAACTCAAATGCTTCATTAAAATCAATTGACACTGAATAACATAGATGTGCAAAATTTCAGTAACACTATTGATGATAACACTTTTCTTTTGGATTAACATGTGACAGCGAAATCATTCAGACTGCTCTAAAATGGTACATCAGTACTTAGGACTTTCACACGAACGATAACATCAACAATAACATGCTAGTTCATCATCAATTGTAGTAAATTTCTTTTCCAAAAAGTCCTAATGATTACGTACCAATCGATTCCATCCTATTGAGCTTCCAGCCAAGCACAAGCCTACTTTAGGCTGGAAATAATTTTTTCCAACTCGATCAATAAACCGCTCAAAGGACCATACTTCGACTGCTGATATTTCTTATGTCCAGCAAGTAAAAGGACGCCCATTGATATCAGCGAGCCCGTAGTGTGATATGTATACTGGTCAGCGGTTTTTTGGTGCAACAGCTGCCACTTTAACATCTCAAGGTGGATGTCCGCCATAACAATAATGCACTGAAGGAGTTAAACGATTGCATTAGAGGCTTATTACATTTAGGACTAAATGTTATTACATTTAGGACTTTATTACATTTAGGACCAAATGTTATTACATTTAGGACTTTATTACATTTAGGACAGTTATTACATTTAGGCCTTCAACAGAGTACACGGTAATTTTGGTCGGCGGGGAAATTATGAAACCTGCGAATAAAACTGAAGGCAATCTTTGAAGACATTAGAATGCGTAATGATGGCGGCGACCAATCAATCTTCTTTAAACAAATCGGAGATTGACTTCCTTGAGGAAAACCCTTTAAAATTGTTCTGTTAAAAACCGGTACTTCGTGGGTTATTTCGATGGAAAAAGAGATGAGTTCGAGGATATGCTCGAGATTTTTCTTCTTAGTAGTTCCACATGCTTTTTAAAGAAGTCCTTGCACTCAAAGAAAGGTAGCGGCAATCTCTTCACAAAGCTCAGACAACTACCTCGAAAATGACATTGGTTAGGCATTGTATTTTGATATCTGATATTTGAAGAACAAATTTAAATTTAATTGTTTAAACTGAACAAATCTTAGATGCTGTTTAACAAACTTTGATTATCATTTTTGTGTCCTTGATATAGCCTTATTGTAAAGCGCCGATAAAATGCATGATTCCTCTGCGGAAATTGAAGTTAAACAGGAAGCCAGTTTGATTCTCATCGTTTGCTCTGAGGGAAATGTTACTTGACCAATCACCTCTGATTTAGCCGATCATAGCGCTCGAAAAGCATTATTCTCTTGCTTGGTATATACTAATGAGACACAAGACAACACAAAATGGGATTCACATGAAATCTTCATTTTAATATAGAACTGAGAATCCAGCATTTCAACAAGAAGCTAATTGATGCCTCTTTTACTAGCTTCCGTACTTAAGGCATTTATGTACAACACTCCACCTTAGTCCTTAAATCGAATATAATTTTTGTTTAAGTTTATAAAGTCAAACTATTCCTGCCTCTAAAATTGCGCTTACTGGCGAAGCTTGGTCCTGAGATTCTGGTGACAAATCCTGAGCCTGCGGATTACACACCGTTCGGCGGTACTTCGCTCGAGCGTTTTGAAACCAAACCTGTAAAACCCTTTTAGAGAGGCCGGTTTTTTGTGAGAGTTGTTTCAAGTCTTTTGCGTCAGGATTGTGATTCATTGCAAAATACGCTTTCATTGCTCGAAGTTGATGGTGCTTGAACGATGTGCGCATGCGTTTGGGTTTTGTGTCTCCATTGTGCTGACCGAGATGACTTTCATTGTCCGAAATTGTAAATCCTGGAAAAAAGAAAATGACGAAATTTTTGTTAATACAAAACTATTTTATTTGGTGACTAGTCAAAGCTAAAATATATTTAAGCGAAAGCGGGTGAAAAGTCACAGTATATATTTGCGCAAACGCATGCACAAAAAGTTATTCTGATGTTTGAGTCTTACGAATAGCACAAAAATTTCAATTCATGTCTGGAAGAGTACAACTTGCGCCGTACATAATGAGTATTATGTATAAAGTTTAGTTTGTTTAGTGGCGAAGCATTCAAGGCCATCGTCAGTTAGTTACCCCATTCACAAAGCAAAACATTTTTAGTTAAAACGGGTTTAACTAACGTAACCTCTGCCTCAAAGAAAAATTACTTGTCATCTGCCGACCTGAATTATCATCACTCAATAAACGTAATGAACTCGTGTCCTCATGCCATCATAGAAACAAAGCGTTACTGCGTAACAATTGGACGAAACATTTAAATTTACCGCCACGCCTATTATGCAAATTTGTAAATTATATATACAACGATGGTTACGAATATTCTTGACAATAAAATCCCCTGATAAGTGAGTAATCACAAAACAGGCTTGTAGGGATGAAAGTATAGTCTCTTTGTTTTTTTCCCTATCTCAATATATAGATATGTTGTGTACATTAAAAAATTACGCTTTTCTAATTGGCTGAAAACGAGTGCATTCTCATGTAACACCGATGCGAAGTTGTGACATGAGTGCAGAGTCGCAACAAGAGTACAAATTACAAATAGCACGCACGCTTTAAAAATTTATTTCGTCTTGCCTTTCTGTGATACTTTTTCATGTAATCAAAACTTTTCGTGGGAAGTCAGTCATTGGGGGCCTACAGCAAATTAAGACGGCAACAGTTATGGGAACGTGGCAAAACAAAAGACTTAATGGGCAGAACAATAGCTCAGCACGTGCGTTTTAAAACTATGTACATTTCTTAGCCGCCCTCTGCAAAACGACAACCTAAAATCACCAAAATTTGCGTCGTTTTCGAATGGAAACCGCGACGGCAAATTATTTCAATTTCCATTTGGAACTTGTCGCTGCTTACATACGTTAGACTGGAGTTGAGATGTGGCACCGTATGAGAAGTTTTTCACATGCAGAAATTTTCGAAATTCGACGTCTTCCTGAGTGTTGCTGTCCTAACTGCTTGAGCTTAACCTGCTGTTATGATACGCGGACTTACGTCGCTAAGACCTGTCAATGGTACGAGGCAGAAGGATATCAAAGTATACCCAATGGTTTTTACTCTTCTAATGTGTAGTGGTGTAATAATAAACGTGTTTCAGGGATCTTCGTTTATGTCAGTTCGGGACGAGTATTCAGTCTAAGTAACAACTATCGACTACAACCAGACCGCGGCGCCCCAGGAAAAAGTCTGTAATTTATTAAATTACCGCTAGCGATGCGTTCAGATTTATCAACTTTGCACAATTTAGGAGCATATGACAGACACTTTTCTGCTGAATTTTTGAAGAGTTTGTTGTTTGGAACGTATCTGTCTTGGTGGTTTGCGAGAATACAAATTGCTGCCTATTTTTACTCTGAGAGGCACTCCTGACTCTTAGTGTGGTTTTTTTTTTTTTTTTTTTTTTAATTAATTTTTTTTTAACTCTTGTATAACCATGGGTCTAAAACATGTAGACTACGGGTGTAAGCTCTAAGCGCCAGGCCCCCGCCGTTCGAAGGTTGGATAACGCTATCCACTGGATAAATCGCTATTCGGTGGACAACGCTGGACGTTTAGCAATCACTTATCCGCCAGATAGCGATTTAACAGTTGGATAGCGTTATTCTCCCTTTATATAACTGGGCCCGGCTTTCAAAATTCGTTACGGCGGCTTATCAGCTTCCATTTATTTAACTCCTACTCGATAATGAACAGTATGATGTTTATTTAGATTACATTGCTTCCACCTATACACCAGACCACTTATTTTTCGATAAACACATAAATTATCGTTTTTCGGTTTTTCTTCAGTTTATTGGAAAGTTAGGTTAACCATAACCATCTTTGCAAAGAAAACCAGCTCTCCTTTACAGCCAGGCAAGATAATTTACTACGTAAACAGAATTTAAGAAAAAAAAGCTAACCAGCTTTACGTTTCGTTTACGCTATATGCTGATAAACAAAGTAAAAAAGCCTTTTGTTGGTTTTAAGTACGTCCACTTACACTTTTTAATGTTAATAAACGTCGAGTAATTCTATTCGAAAATGCACTTATTTAGAACATAGTCAAGAATACTTAACACTGGCTCAGGTGTAATAACAGCGCTTTCGGAGATAAATATCTAACAAAAGAAGTAAATCGTTTTTACCAAGCTGTCTATTGCAATAACGCTTACAAATCCATATGAAAAGTAACTACAGAGACAGCGGCAATTTTTTTTTGTAGTTACCGATGAAGACAGCTGTAATGTCCATTAGTAAGTAACGCCTCGGCGCTCGTGCAAAAAGCCACTTTCACTTCATTTCAAAAATACTTTCTTTGTTGTTTGAATTCGCATTGACGTGTAAATTAAGGACTCGACGGAATTGAAAAGTAGTTGAAAATTACGTGCAAATTTCCTAACAAAACAACACCGCAGTTGTTAAGAAAAACTATTGTGTTCGGTGGTCCCACGAGGGAACAAAAAATCCTGAATTAAGTTGAAAAAGACGCCCATATTACGCTTATTTTAAAACCTAAAGACTATTCATTTTGCCGTCCAGATGTCGCCAGTGCATGAAAAACGTTCTATGGCGTATCTCGTATAAATCAAACGTTTCATTCCATCCATTGTCGCTTAACACGCTTAAGGCTACACACATTGAGTATAAGATATTACAGCAGATGTCTTTGCGAATCAAATGAAAAAATCTGCCCAAAAGATAAGTCGTGTATTAGGGGCGCGCACAAACAATAAAAAAACCGATGCCTCGGGCAAATGAAATGAAAGACACTCTAACAGCGGAGTAAAAAGCTTCATTCTCATCGTCAGATGGTCGCTCCAGGCGAAATGGGTTGTATTGCGGCAGAGCAATGGCAACAACAAAACGGAGAAAAATAGTTTAAAACAAAGTTCTCGGTTGTTTGAGAACCATAACTGAAAGCTAATAAGAGCTATTATCACCTCTCATTAGTCAGCAGTTTGGGTAATCAGCGCGCTTTGTTTACTAAAACTCACCTGATAAAGCCGCTACGCCTTCCAGAGGTACGGACATTTTCTTTTTTCTAGGTCTTCCTTTAGTTGTCGAAGAACCTAACGTCGTTTTTAAAGCCTGCGCTTCCTCTCGAAGTATCATCTCGTAGTCCGCTTTGCAGAAGATTTGCATTCCACGCATACCAAAGTATTCGCCAGTGGCTAAGATTCGTTTGCAGCGATCGCAGGCGAAACAGCTGATATGGTAAACATGTTCGCGGGCGCGCATCACCAGCTCTTTGCTGGAGATACCTTGGCCACAAGCAGCACATCTATTCACTGAGAAGCGCCTGGCAGAGAGAGAATGAGGACTGGAGTTAGCCTCTTGTCTGTAAGAGGCAGATTGAGTGCGTTAAAATAACTTAAGGTAGTCTTGTAATCAAAGAACCCGACAGAACAACAACCAGTCGTTATCAATTCGGAATATCATAAGATAAATATAATATACAGAAAACAATCTAAATCAACTGAAATGTTACTTTTGGATTTATCAAAAAAACAAAAAACAAAAAAAAAACGCACATAGTTTATTGTTATTCATAGAATAAATGAAAAATCACGCGCGCTCTAATTAGTTAAAATCTATCTTCTATTGTAGGGTAAACTGCGAGATGTTTTGTAATACTCACAGCCCGCACTTTTCATCGATTTAGCGGCGTACCAATCAATTTAAGGATATTATGAGAAGACGACGAAAAACCCATACGAGTCAACGGCTAGTGATTAACAAAATTTTCCTCTGTTCCCCTGGCATTTCAGGCGGTAAACCTTTTAAAATTACGCTCTCAATATTGCTTACATCATCGAGGAGGTGAAAGTTCACTGATCATCGACAGCACTGCACAATTTGAAATTTTTTCACTAATTATGCAATTAGGTATTAATCAGCTCATAACTCAAGGTAAATCGTAAGCAGCAACTGACAGTAAATAAGGATAGACTTCAACGCTGTCCAATTCAAATTCTCACCGTTTGTACCATTACTGGCTCAATTTTTCTGTCGAAAATTTTTTTGCTTATTTTCTGGCTTCCATGGGGAAAAAAAGTTGAAGAGGCTACATATTACGAAGCTCTGTTTTTCCTCTTTCGATAAAGACCAACTTTGAAATAGAGCTTGAAAAAGTTTGAAGATGTTGAATACAAAGTTGTTACAGGGAATTCGATATCCTGCGTGTACCATCGCTTTCGCAAAATTTGCAATCTTCGCGACTGTACCAGGAAGATCGAACGGTGAGGATTGCGTGTAAATAAGGTAAAAAATTCTTTCCGTCTGAATTGATTTGTTTTGTCTCGCAATTACTGACCCTATTCAGGTGCCCTTAATTTTTCACATTTCTCACACTGTGTTGTGGTGAACTGAGTAATTTCTCGATTTTTCTTCGGTTGACGAATTTTTTTTTAGCTCGCTTCTCGCAATCACTGAACTCGGCATCGAAAAATGTGAAAAGTGAAAGTTTTACTGCGCGCGAATTACTCAACGCGGAAAACCAAGGAAACTAGATGTTGAACAAATGTCTGAAAATTTTTTAAACGAACAGAATATATTCCTTTTCTTTCAATACAACACAATACAACATGTTCACAATAAAGAATAGTCCATTTGATATGATGAAAAAAAAAATAAGATACGGCTTTAAATGGTTAAAAACCTTGTCGGAAACTTCCTTAAAGATAAAATGTTTTGATTGAGGGTCCATTCTCTAATGAAAAATCCTTATCAACATTAAGATTTTTTATAATATGCCAAGTGCTTTTCAAGTGCATTCACCGTATTGTCAACACTGCCGTCTGTTGATATCTCGCAAACCCGCAACAAACAGTTCGGAATCTTGGGCATAATTTGGACGTAAATCCGCGAGCTATTTTCATTACTTACCAGGCTTTCTGGCGTCTAATTGATGGCATAGAATATAATTCGGTTCATCTTGACCGATACTAACTGATAACCTACAAAATCAACCTTTATGCTCTTAATAAAACAACGAGGAACACTTAACTCCTTTATCGGAAACAATGATGTATGGCATTTTTGCCAATACGTAATTTTTAAAAAAATTTTAGCAAAAAATAAACGCTTTAGCAAGTAATATTAATTTTTTCCCAAATTTTATTTGGACTTAAAAATGTATCTCATTTTATAGATTTTTGTTAAACCATAAACATTCCTAGGCTTGTCGAATCAGAATCGAAAATTTCATTTATTAACGAGCGCCGGAATATGTATTTACCCTTTCCAATGAAGAATTGGTAATTCTTCAAACTTTCCAATATTATTTCCGTTATTAAAATAACGCTAGCTAGCTAGGTTAAAATCTTATCTAATATTTCATACCTGTGTTACACAACTACAGAATAAATATTTTGGAAAACGTCGGCGCCTTTGAAGGCTTAAAGAAAAGATGTTTTAAGAAACAGTTGGACAAAAAAAATCAACCTCGTTTTTTCGTCTTTTATTTTTTCGCTCTTCTTGTTTGTTTTTTTCTTCTAGGGTATAGTTTTTGTATTTGTTTGGACTAAATGACCATTGCTATACAGTCAAAATTAATTTCAAAAATTTATCTTCAAGTGTTATGACGTATAACAAAAAAGATGTTTTTATTATTACAAGAGGACTTAACACGCAAGTAGATATCTCGGTCAGCGCTATATATCTGCATATGCGCGTGATAACAGCCACATATATATGTATATGAAATAAGTGAGTCCCTTTCAGAGGAGAAGAAAAATAAAACAGAATGTTCTAAAACAAACTAAAGATCACTATCGGCAAAACCATTTTCAAAGAATTAAGATAAAGTTGAGAGCATGGGAAGCAATCACTCGTACATAGAAAAAATCAATTAAATTCGCACGATAGCGACTTACGTAAAAACTAAGGGTCACTTGAATTGCGAAAATTTGAAGAGAGATGCGATTGATAATGACTCACTTGTAGTAATCTTCTCGACACAATATGGCCCCGTCCCTGGTAAAACACGTAAGCTCGTTGTCCAGCCTCAAGCTACATTCGCTGCATTTCAAACACTCGACATGCCATTCTCTATCGACCGCCATCAAATAGAAACGCTCGATAATCCTTGTACCACAACCTGCACAGAAGGAGGCTTTTTCGTCGAGAGTGACTTGATCTGCCGTAGGCATGGCCTGGAAGGGAAATTTAAGAAGAAAAAATTATTTAACAAAAGAAGCAATATTTTATTGTCAGTCAGCGTATCTATACCGAATGAGTAGAATATTGTGGTTTCGTTGTCGCAAGACCTAAAATACAACCAGAACAGACTTCTTCACGATGACAAGTTTTTGTAACAAATTTTTCTGAAGGTGATGGACCACGATTGTGCTAATGTCGCTTATCCCTGCAGGGAATTTCGACTTTAGAGCAATTTCGCTGTGGTTTTCGTAGGAATGCATGAATTGTCAGAGCGTCAGTGGTATTAGCTTTGTTGCTGAAATGGCTTCCAAGAAACTCCTTGAAACCAAGGAAAGTTACACTAAGATAATACTCTCAGTCAAAAGTGATCGTACTGTCCGGAAAAATTCTCTCAGTATCTTACACTTTTCAGCCGACTTGTTCTCTAATTGAAGTAGTTTAGGGCTCCTTTCAACTTTGAACAACATCATAAACAATTACGTTCTAATCGCCGACGAGAAATCGCCATTACATTAAACAGGACGTCGAGACCATTATGACTTATTTGCTGTGTCCTGTATTGTACGGGAATTAGCATACTTTGTGTTAATTTCAAATGCAACACAAACACAAACACTTCGCACAGTTACACAAGGATTCTTTTACCTCTTGAAAGAACATTTTTTTAAATGGAAGCAGTTACAACTTCTCGGTGGTTGAATCTCTTTAAATCCTCTGCAGCGTTTTGTTTTCCGGCCGTCGTCTTAAAGTTCACCGAGTTAAATGGACCCATACACAATGCATGAAACCAAACAAGTCCTTTCTTTTCGCTTCCTGGGCGGTTCGATAATTTTCCACCAAGATACACCACATAATCTCCAACAATAACTACATTATAGCATCTGAATTCTTAAAATTTCAAGTAGATTTGTAAATCGCCATGCTACAAAGGGCTGCGTAGAATCGGTAAGGTTTCACATGATACGCGTCCGGAATTTGCTAAACTTAATATTACCTGCTTAAGCTTACGTACCAGCGATGTGAGCTGTGGTACAATTTCCAGAAGGCACCGCGCGAAATTAGGTATTAAGTTGAAGTCGTACGCTTCAACAAGCTTACAAATAATACGTTATATTCCCTAATAACACAGTTTGTTCTTGTCACACGTTGGGAGAAAATCCGTTACGTGCTTGCATGGGGAGCGAAGTACTCTTGGTTTGTTCGTTAGCAAGTAGAACGAAGTGAGCAAGAAAGCGGAGGTCGATTTCACAGCTTTACAACCAATCAGATCTCATTGCTTGGCCGTGATTGACGTGTGTGTTATAAACAGTGAACTGGGTTCCGCGTTTGATACATCATTGTTACCTATATTTCCGTTTTCCTCCCATGTTTACTTTTAATAAAATCTGATAAATTTTCAAGTGGAGGAGTAGCACGTCTTTAAGTGTCACGAAGAAAGCGGGAATAAGCGCTCACGCTTTTTGGTTGCCTTCAATACTCAATACACGTATAACTGGTATTAATTGTGCACAGAATATTTGATGATGTTTTCTTAACTCGACTAGTACAAAAGAACTTAAAGGACCTTTTGATTCTATGCTAACAGCCTTGAAAGGCTAAACAATGGGTCTGAGAAAGACAAAGTAATATAAAGGAAATTTGACATGCGTAAAATCGAGCCAAACTGTTTACCTTTTGAAATAATTGACAAGTTTTTGAAATTGATTACATTTCACCTGTGATTTAATTCGGGCGCTAAAGAACTGTATTTAGCGATCAAAATGGCTTTTCCAAAAGATTTCTGAGCCCTCTTAACAAAGAAAATCAAATGCGCATGATTCTATTCAATCTGATTGTAGAATTCACTTTTCGCATTCAAATTTTCAGTCTCTTGATCTCAATGCTCGCCAAATTAACTCGAAAACCATTAACATCATTTTTACGCTCGTTAAAAGTGAAATCTCAGTCTTTCGGCAACTGAAGGAGCTAGCGGTGTGTGCATACATGCAAGGCCAACCTTGGCCAGTATATCATATTAATTCCCCTCCTTCAGAAATATAAACGAAAACTTGCACCGCCTACGCATTCTGTAAATACCTCAGCTAGATACAGCCAGCTAATAAATAAACAAGCTTGACAAGAATATCGACAGCGAATGACATTGAAAAATGTAAAACTTGAATGAAAGCTAGGACGTAATCAATTTCAGCTTATTGCCTTGTCAAAGGGGGGTTTTCTAGTTATGAAAACATACGACATTCAATTCGAGTTCATAAATGGATAAAACTAACAGGAACAAGTGTTAGGCACGTATTTGCATCAATTTTTTTTCAAAAAAAAAAGTTTTGCTCGTACCTTTCTCTTAGCAAAACGAGGAAGAAGTTTTGATGACCACATTGAAAACAAGCTGAGCTGGTAAATCGGATGAGCGCTCTCCTCTTTAAATGCAAAAAAAAAAAAAAAAGTCGTGGATGGTCAGATTAAAGATCTTAATCAGAGCCGAAGCAGATAAACTAAGAATTAAGAAGAATGCATTATACTTAAGAATATGCTGGCCCGAAAAGTTTTTCAATTAAACCATTTGCGCAATGAGTGAACAAAACCCCGATTTACGATTAAGATAAAAATTGAAAACCGTTTCTCTGAACGGCTGTATTTCCACAAAAAACTATAATACATGCGATTAAATAGTATTAAACAAAAAGATATAAAATTTCCGCTAATTTAGCATAACTAAAGCACGGATCTTCAAACATTTTATTAATCTTTGAAAAAATTCGGACTTGTTTTGGTTTAGTTACTGAGCGCTCGAATCAAAGATGAATTTTAGAGAAGCACCTTGAAACACTAAAATGAACTATGAAAAATGAACTACACAAAGATACATCATTCGTTAGGCATTCAAATTCTTTTGAAAGCTTGTACCACTAATAGATAAGGTAAAAGAAAATAAAATTTGGTTTTAAATTATCGAAACTCAAAACACAAAGATCTGGTCGTAATTAACTTGTTAGTGCATCGGTGTTTAAGTTTTACACTAAATTACTGTGGCTAAACATTACAAGCCTATAAACTTGTGTTCCTTTGACCTTTTTTTATAATTCTTGCGAAATAAACCTCATTGAAAGTCTAGTGGATCGAGTAGAATTCATTCGGAAACATTTCGTATCATTTAATTACCTACACAGTACAGATTTAGAAATCTCTAGACAAAAGAGAGAAAGCTTTTGTATCTGCGGCTGATCGGTTCGCAATGATATTTTGAAATTTCCACGACATACAGATCTAAATCGGTTCACGGGCTTGAAATCCAAGGAATAATTCAATTTCAGACTCGCAAAAAAAAGTGGTAAACCTTTTCTTATTAACACATTGGCTTGAGAGGTACCGGAAGATTTTGAGAAAGGCAAAAAACCATTTGATCTTTGCATTCAGAAGGATTAACCTTCAAAACAGAAAACTCCTGCTAACCGTGCACGTTTATGGACTAGACGAAACAATCACACTTCCTTAAAAAAAACCCTTAACCTTGCCTCGATAAAATTGTTTCAAGTTCAACCGGAGTTCCTTATCACTTTCGCGCTCTGTGAAAAGCCATTATTTTGACGAGCCAAAATTCGCAAAAAGCGATGGAAACCACTGAAAGTTCAAATCACATCACTCTTTACCTGAAACTGGTCTCGAAACATGTGCACGGGTGAAAGTGGACTTCACTTCCAGCTGGCTTAGGCAGATTGATCAGAGTCGATAGTCGCGTAGCTTTGCTAGTTGCGGTGAATACTTGCCCTCACCACTAGCTAAATATCTCGCAACGGTTGCAGCTGTGTATTTTTAAGGTATGGAACCCCTCCTGAAATGAACCCTTTATTTAAATATTGCATAGTAATTTCCATATGTTTTAGGCTCGGGAACAGGTGAATCGAGAGCACTCAGATGATTCTCTTTCCGTCATTTCGCTTTTAAGGACGATGAGATGCACAGAATATCGGCCCGTTTCCGACTTCTCTTGAGAGTAAATTGCATTTAAATGGGGAAATTGTTCTTTGAGTTACAAGGGCACTTGACTCACGATCCGGAACAAAATACGGCCACACGTGTCTGTCGTACAAGTGTCAGTTTTGTTTCCGTTTGAGAGAGAGATATGTCTATTCAAATTCAAATGTAGACACAATGCTTTTCATGCGTTTGTGGAGAGAGAATAGTTTCCCCTCTCAGTAGTATAGGACCTCTTAAACGGGGCATTGTGATAAAAAGTTCGCCGAAACACAACAAGATCTCGTTCTAAAGAGGAAATTTAAAAGGAGTCGATTGAGTGTGGTTGTTTGAAACAAAGATGCCTGAAGTTTACTTATCTTGATCAATATAATGTAAAACCTATTCTTAATACATTTTGTTTGAATAATTTTGTGTGTGAAATGAAAGTAATACTGTGAATAACACTTCATAAAATTATTGCAATGCGATAACTCGTGCGCATGCGTTCTTTCAAAATAAAAGTGTGCCTTCAACAGGAAAACCTTTTAACTTGATCGATGGGAAGGCAAACATCTCGACCGCAATATTCGTATGATTTATTGTTGTCAAAATTTTAAACATATCATGCCGTCTGTAGGCGTCTTTGAGCGATTACGAGCGTCAACACGCTGCCTTGCATATGTCCACGATGGCGTTTTTACTGATTGGAGAGGTAACAACAGTGTGTAAGATGTACACACGGTGTATTGTTGCTAAAAGTATTGACAGAACGTATTGTCTGAAAAGGATTTTTAATTTCGTTGACGATCAGCGCGTCCAAATTCTGTACCAAGTCCTGATCTTTAATCAATCGGCAGTGCGAGTATAATTAACAACAGTAATAAATTCGTTCTGGTGGGTTGGTCACTCGCATACACTCTAAAAGCTATACGTGCCCAAGTATTTTCTTCTCGGCGATATGCAAGGTGTTTAAACAAAAGCTCGACCCTTTTGTTGGGTCCTTTGCTAACCTCGGGGGCGTCGCGTGGCGGCACGTGCCAATTTCTGACGAAAACAACATTGAAATGGGTTCCCTGGCGGGAATAAAAAACTTCAAGGCCATTGAAAGGGTTTACCACAATTTAGTCAATGTGACAATACTTCGTTCAAATTGTGCCAAGGCTTTTGGTTTTCGGTTACTTTTGTTTTTTTGTAATGAAAAATAAACACAATATTCCGGAAAGCTGATAAAAACAATAAAGATTCTGTACACTCGAGGGGGAACTGTCATTGTTTTCACAAAGAACCGATTACCTGTTTCTTAACGTTAAAAAAGCAAGAATGCTATTGTATGGGGCGCCAACGAGCGACAAAATCCCGCAAGAACCAAGATTCACGACAGAATCTCAACGGCGGCTCGCTAGTCGATGAGGGAATTTCCTAAAATTTTCAGCTTCCCGTTAATTAATAAATTATATACTCTTAATTAGCTTCTAGCGATGTGTCATCTTGGGACGAATTTCAGCTGTGAAAATTGAAAACATATTCTTCCACCTGCATTGGACTGATAAACAAATATAATCTAATTAGGAGAAAGATACATTACCGCACATTGAAAGTAGCTTAAAAACGAGCCTTGAATAATCTGTGTTCAATGCTACAGTTAACGATATACATTTTTAATTCTAATTTCGTTCCAACGATTTGGTTTCCCAAGGAAATGAGTAAATGAAAACATACAGTTGGCACCTCGAATCATTAAGTCAGCGAAAGATGTATACAATTCTTGTCATTTCCGACTTGCAAACTTTAAGAAATTTCTCAGCGAATGTCATAGATTGCTAAGGGTTAAAAATATGTTTTGCAACAAAATTTGAGAAATATTAAAGAGTTATACTTCGATGGGTGGGCTGCTTTTTCATCGGGTGAACGTTTTAGATCGAACGCTTATTTAAAATTCACAACTTAGGAAATTTTCGCACTTGGCCCGAGAGGTAAGCAGTATGGTTTAGGTACGTTTTCGTAAATAATTGATATTTTACGTTTTTACTACATAATATTTTTTATATTTTCAGGGGCTGAAATGAATTGGAAAAATTTGATACTGACTCAGGATTAGAGTAAAAACGAGATTTAGTTTTGTTTGACGCAATCCTTGTCCCATTCTTATGCATGATTGAAACTTGATACCGCCGAACCAATTTTCTTGCAACTAAAGAATATTCTTCTCTTAATTCGCTATATCAAATTAAACTTTT